ATCCCTCCGTCTCATTTGCTTGCCTACTCCCCCAGCGCGCAGCTGGAACGTCAATCTACCATGCAGCCTTTCTTCCTCCCCGTCGCCTTCGCCTCTCTCTTACTTCTCTCCCTGTCTTACGCTTCGACGTCCACCCAAGCACGCCTTGGAGCCCTTGGATGTGGCCATGCTTTACCAGAGAGCGTGACCGCAGGCGGCAATGCCACTCTCATGCACATCGATGACAAGAATTACACCCGAAGCTACTACATTTATGTGCCGAAGAATTACACCGTGGATATGCCAATGCCGTTGGTATTGAGCTTTCATGGCAGAGGATCAGATGCGACAAAGCAGGAAAGCGTGGATCAATTGACACACGACAAGTTCAATAGTATCAACGGCGGCATGGTGGTTGTCTATCCAGAAGGTGTGAAGGTAGGTTCATCCCCCTGAAAGTATCCGACAACAGAACATTTTCCTGCTTCCTCCCTTTTGCTCCACAGTCCATTTTGCCATCTCACAATTCCACCAGCCTCCCTTCCCTCAAGACGGCAAACGTCTCCGGTCCTGGTATGGTGACCCCTGGTGGAACCCTACCGCGGACCCCTTCGTCAACGACATCTCTTTCACCAATACGCTCCTTACCTATCTACTCTCCCGCTACTGCATCGACCCTACCCGCATCTACGCGACCGGTAAATCCAATGGTGGCGGCTTCGTGAACCAGCTGGCCTGCGACGCCTCCACCTCCTCCCGCTTCGCCGCCTTCGCTCCCGTTTCCGCAGCAATTTATACCCTCAACTCGACCAACTATACAATCCCAGACTGCCAGCCACACAAACCGATTCCGATAATGGAGTTCCATGGTTTGGATGATAAGACGGTTCCGTACAACGGCGGCTTGGACGATCAGAGTCGTGACCAAATCCCGGGACGAAATTGTAGCAACAACGACACTACGAGTGTGAGCTGCAACTACTCTGTTGCACCGGTGCTCAACGGGACTCTCGAAGAAGCTGAGGCAACCATGGCCGCCTGGGCGCAGCGGAACGGATGCACTGCCGTACACGACGAAACGCTATGCGATCGTGACGGAAAGCCTACAGAGCACTACACCTGGACTTGTGGAGGCGGAGGTGGGCTGGTGCAGCATTATCCGGTTGGCGGCTTGGGACACATCTGGCCTGCGAAGGGGCGGAATGGCGAGAACCACAAGGGCGGGAAAGACAATAGGGCGTGCTTCGATGCTAGCGAGGAAATTGTCAGGTTCTTCGGGAAACACAGCAATCCCGGACCTGCTCAAGCGAGGACGAAGAGGGGAGACATGTTACAGACATGATGAAGCCGTGGTCCTGAGATGGTTCGCGCGATGGATAAGCGGCTGCGGGCTTGGCTGTCCAGACGTATCGTTGGAGCGGTACAAGGGAAGTAGAAGCCGTTCTGGGAAGGTGCGCGGAGGCGCGCACCTGCTCGGCGCTCTGTTTTCTAGGCCACGGTATATGACGAATGTTGCAATACGCTTTGTTCAAGACCAGGAGCTGTAGTCCAATCGGCAGAACATCCTTGGTTCAACGTCCCGTGCTTCAAAACCCCTTTGGGGCCGGAGTAGGATCAGAGGCAGCAGGGAGGAAGGTGCAGAGTTTGAGTCCTGCCAGCTCCATCTCAATCTCTTTTTTCTCTTTTGGTCCCTAGCGCAAGCGATGGACCCCTTCTGTTGCCTTTGCCGGCATGGACAAGCACGCGGGAGCCGAAGCCACCGACCGTCTCGTCTTTGAGCAAAAGATGCCGGCGCGTCATTGGTTCACCGAGCATCGCAAGGTGTGTTTGAGGTCCTTTGAGCGACTTGGATTTTCTTTGAATCTCGGATAGTGTCAGCTTGAAATGGCAAGGGGCCGAGTCGTCTGTGTTTCTCCAGGTGGGGGTTGCGTTTCTTCATCTGCGGCAAAAGCGGTGCCCAAAAAGCCGACTGGTAGGGCAGACAAATTGATCGAAGCACTGGCTGACGGCAAGGAGACGGAGAGTTGATTGATTTGGTGGGTGGGGTCACGGGTGGTGTTTTCAGTGTCGCTAGAGCTGGTGTCGCTGCAGCTGGCGGTGTCGATGGCGGTGGAGAAACGGAAGTTATGCCTTCGGCATGAACATTCAGAAGCAGGGCATGCTTCCATGTATGCATGCGGTGAACCACAACCCGTGAGACGTGAACTCTGAAAGACGAGATTGTATTGGCTGTCGCCCTCAGAGCCTCATGTAGTACGCTAAATCCACCTTTCCAATGCCATCCTTCACCTCATAGGTCGTCATCCCATTGCCCATGAACGAAAATCGGTTCTTGCTGCGATACTCAATCTCGAACTCCTCGCCCCGGATCTCCTCCAACATCTCCCTGAAGTGGAGGACGGAGCCGGCGTACAGGGAGGTGACTTTGGAAGGGTCGGTTCTGCTAGCCTTGTACCAAGTGCGACAGTGCAATGACCAGACCAGGCGTTTGAGAATTTCTTGCGAGTAGACGTTGTAATCGTGGACGGTGGAATAGGATACACTGGCAGATCTGGAGACGGAGATTACTGGTTAGCACAAGTCCTAACATGCTGGATATTAGGTCAGCGACGATGTGCGTACTTGATACCCTGTGTAGCAATCTTGCGGATCCATCTGAAAACGTAATCGCTTGCGCAGTCAAGGACAGCGAACGTAGATCCCTGTCCGACCGGAGAACCTGGGCCTAAGAACATGAAGAAGTTGGGCATGTCCGGCACACAGATTGCCATGTAGGACTCCTAAAGTCACAAGTCCGTCAGTGAGATCTCCCCGGTTCGGTCTTTTCGAGATTCACGTACCGGTTCATCAGCCCACAATGTCGCAAGATCAGTACCGTTCTTCCCAACCTGTATCCAGGGCGGTCGGAATGAGAGGTCAAAGCCGGTGGCGCACACTATCACATGGAATTCCTCGATGCCGCCTTTGGTGGGGATGCCCGTCGGTGTGATCTCCAGGATCTCACCGAACTGCATGCTTACATTGTCCTCCTGCAGTGCTTCCAGATAACTCTCACCAGGCGTCAAGCGACGACACCCAACATCATACTCCGGGATAAGCTTCCTGCACAGTTCCGGGTCTCTGTTCAACCAATCCTCCATTTGCTTCTTGACAGCGGCCGCTATGTCCTTGTGTGCAGGGCTGTCTTTGAAGAGAGCATAGTAAAAACTATTGAACGCGTGCTCGATTTGCTTACGCACCTCCGTCAGCTTGGCGGGATTGTCACGGAACTCTTGCTTCTCCTCCTCCGTATACTTGAAGTTTCTTCCACTCTTGGTCAGATGTAAAGCTACGGGAGGCGCAATTCAGGTCGCGCTCCGGATGTACGTTGTAACGTGTGCAGCTGTCTTACGCATCTGTGGCAGGATCTGTATGCCGGAAGCACCGTTGCCAATGATGGCGACCCGCTTGCCTTCCCAAGTGAGCTCAGGGTCCCATGCGGCGCTGTGCGTTAGTTTCCCTTGGAACGATTCCAAGCCCTTGATGTCTGGCCAACGATGTCGGCTGAGGAGCCCTGAGCTGTTGATGAGGACGTCTGCTCGATCAGATATGATCTCGCCATTGGCCTCGATCTTGATATCCCATTTCCCGTCGGTGTTGTTCCAGATGGCTTCGATGATTTTGCTATTGAACCGTACTGTCTCGTCCAGACCATACTTGGATGTAGTGTCCTTGATGTACTGCCAGACTTCCGCACCTGGCACATAGAACCTACTCCAATCTTGGCGGCGTTAGCGGAGGTCGACCGGCCACCGACGGAGTTACGCACTCGGGTTTGGAGCAAAGGGAAAGGTGTATATATGTGCTGGGACCTATGTCTTGTAAGAATAGACACCTTACGACGGTGATAGCTCATCCTTACATCGCACCCCACGCCAGGGAACGTGTTGTTGAGCCAGGTGCCCCCGACATCGTCTAGACATCGTCAGCACTCCTGTGTTTATGCAGTCCGGGGATAACATGCGGTTCTTCTCGTAAATGATCAAGTCCATGTAGTCGGCTACTGCTGGTGCATACTTGTGCTTGTAAGAGACCATGAGGCCGGACACTCCTGAACAAGACTTAGTGTGTATCCAAGGCGAGTAGTGTAAGACCTATGTGTACCTGCGCCGATGCAGATGACCTTAAGCCTGCGCGGTTGGAATAAAGGCTGCTCCACAACGGGTACCCAACTCGAGTCGTGCTCCTGATGGATGCCATTGCTGTTGGCCTTGCCGTTAAGTATGTCTTCCATGGAGTCCTTGGTCCACTCCGAGCGGAGGTCCCTGCGTCTTGCGGTACGACAGAAGTATGAGTAGAGATACCAGAATGAGAGATGGGAATATATATGTTTACGACGTGCTACTAGAACCAACGTCTTGATTTAACGAAAGGTGGGATTTGCTGCAACGCATAAGGCTTCCAGTGTCTAGACTGGTACGTAGCTTGTGAAACGCTGGGTGCCTTGGAGCACATTCAACTTCTTTCGGAATCTTACTCAGAATGCCGTAAGAAGCGTGTAAGAAGGTCACGGTCCAGGGCTCTTCGTATGTAGAGCATTGCTTGCCCAACGCGAGCAATGCTCTTCATGATCCTTCTCAGTACTGCCAGATGCAGGTGAGGAGGATAAAATCAGTTTGGTTTGACAGAAACCGCAGCTTAGACTACCGTGTAATGTGGTAATCTTAACTGGTGTAGTTGTCGTTCCACTAGCACGTCTCACCATCTGAAGTGAGCGAGCCCCCTTACGCAGCTTGAAGAGACGTGTAAAGATGACCCGAATCTGCGAGGAGGAAGACATGTAGCTCGAAGGAACATATGGGAAGATGACTGCGTGAGTGGATGGATGACATTGCGTGTGGTCATTTTGTCCGATCCTGACGCGAGCTAGAAACGTGCTTGATGGACAACGGACAACCCCGGAGCAAAAATCCTGCAACGCCTTCGCGAACTTGTCTGGTCTTCCCGGATGACAGACAGTCTTGCCAAAGATCAAAAGATGTTGACGAAGAGGGGATTCGAACCCCTGCCTCTTTCGAGAGTGGGAAGCTGTTCAACAGCTAAGTTATTCAAGTAACTTGAATCCACCGCCATAACCACTCGGCCACTTCGCCCATTGAGACTTGGATGGCTTTTGTAAAATATATATACTTTATAAAACTATAACGCACGTCCATTCGTACCGCCGCGCCACGGGCGAGTTTCTCCCTTGGCATTCACACACCCCTACCTCTTTATCTCATCTACACGTGCGTAAGTCGGACACATTCTGGGGCGAAGACGGGAACAGTTCATGTGTATGTCGGAAAAGGTTGTTGAGGTCATGCAGCACCGCAGGGTATTCGACTAACCAGGACGCGGTGTTCTACACCTTTGACGCATCGCAGCGGCAAGCGAGCTGGATGCATCAAGCTGTCCACCCTCAGTCCTGCCTTGCCGTGGAGGCGCAGCTGTCCGCATTGCTGCATAGTAGGCATACTCTAATGACCACATAGGCCCTCATCTTTCAGCTCAAGCAGACCGATCAATACAAACACCAAGGTTTCCCGTATCGAGACAACCAGAACGACATTGCGGGTCGGCCCTGACATCAATAATCACCGCAGAAATACAGCACCGTCCTTCGTTCAGCACACACAAAGAACAAGCGAATCCCCTACACACACTGCAGCGCTCGTCAATCTTTTTTTCTTTCAAAACAAGATTGAAAATTTTCTTTGGGGTATACAGCGAATCCGATCGTCCGGCCAGCCTCACCTCCTCCCAAACCGTCCCCTGCCCTTCCCCTTCGAATTCTTGTTCTTGATCTTCAACTTCACAAAGTTGGCGTGCGCCGTGGCGCTGATCTTGCGTGGCGCTTTCTTCGCCGCGCCTTCCTTCTTCTTCTCTTGTTTCGTGGATTTTGTTGGCTTCTTGGCTTTTACTGGCACGGCGTTTGTGCCCTCGTCATATTCGCTATCCCCTGATGCTTGTTCTTCGGGATCGTTCTCCTTGCCTTCTTCTGAAGGATTCTGTGCGTGTGCTTGGAGCTGAGTTTCGGAGACTGGATCTGCGTCACCGTCGGAGAGCGGCTCCCTAACTTGCTGCTTTTTGGGTTTGTGAAGGACGGGACGCACTGCAAGTAGCATGTCAGCGTCGTAATCAGCGACATGAATGCAACACAACTTACTGATAACCCTTCTAGTCTGTCGTTTCAGTCCTTTCTTCTTCCACACCTTCCTCGGTCTACCCTCCGCATCCAGTCCTTGTCCCTCTTCCTCCGCTTCCTCTTCGGATTCCGCATTCCGGTCCGGGCCCAGTGGCATATCAGCCGCTTGGCTATCCTCGACCTGCACCTCAGGCTCCTGCACCTCTCCCACTTCGGTCGTCTTCTGCGCCCTTGTTTCTGCAGCACTTCCCCTGACCCCATCTCCATTTCCCGCAGCATATCCATCTCGTCGTCCATCCTCTGTTCCTCCTGCTCCCTCAGCCCCTTGATGATACTGCTCAAACTCCTCACCAATCCTCTCTTTTTGAACGGCGGCTCCCTCATCCTCCTCATACCCAGTCCAATACCCGCCTCCTCCGCCTCCTCGGTCAACGCCTCCAGCCTTGCAAGACTCGTGCTCCGCCGCAAAAACGCCGGCGTAGCGAACTCCTTGACCGGCGTATCCTCCCCGCAGCCCCGTCCATATCGTCCGATTTCCGCTTCCGAGGCGTGGCGAAGGCGTCCAGCATGAAGCGTTTCCCGCTCGATGCGGGCGTCCGGCTCAGCCGTGCCCGTCCTCCGTCCTCGTCCCCGAACAGCGCGGTGGTATTCTGGGGCTTGCTGGGCGTGCAGGCGACAGCGCTGTCCTCTGGGAACAAAAACGTCCGTTGAGGTTTCGACGGCGTGCCGGACGATAAGCAGTCGAAGAGACTGAGGATCTGGCCGTCTTTTTGAGGCGTAGGACCGAGGAATTGACGGATTGCGGCGGGGTGGGTTCGGGTTCCGAGTCTTCCTCCTCCTCCTCCTCCTCCTCCTGCTTTTCCTCTTCTGGCTCGTGGGGAAGTCTGTTGTCGTGGTTGTAGGCAGAAGGTGAGGTGTTCTTTCGGGGAGTCGCGTGGATGGGTGCTGCGAGTTTGGCAGCTTGGGGAGTGGGTGGTGAGGCGGCGCGTTTACGAGGTGTACTGGCTTGTGCCTGCCTCTTTTGAGGCTGTGGACGGCGCAGGCGGTCATATTCTTTGTATTTGGCCGCTTGTGTCTGTCAGAGATGCGCTTGTACTTTCACCATACACGGGCGCATGCATACCTATGGCGGCATTTTGCTTGATATCATCACGACCGGGTTTGCGTCCTGCATTGGCAGCTGAGAACGACTTCTCCCAAGCTTTCAGTTCTTGACGAAGAGCAACGATCCGGTCTTGGGTTAGAGTCTCTTCCTTGGACATGTTTGTGTGTGATTCGGAGAAGAGACCAGACGAGACGGGCTGGTTTCGGCGGTTCTGCTTTACGGACGCGTCGCGCGCTACACTTTCCGCGCTCGAGATTGCCGAAAATGACATCAGCCCCGATCTAGCTCATCACCACTCCCTCCCACTTCAACCCGCAAGCACAACGACTCAAGTTTACATGGCATCGTGAGAGGACAGCGGAACGACAACGCTGCCCTACGAAACACGTCCGCGGTGATACCAGCACTACAGTCTCAACTGACTTTGTGCCGCCGAGAGATGTAGCCGCATCTCTCCATCCATGTCTTGCACCATCGCGGGGTCATTCCGATACGCTTACTAACAATCCCTATATAAGGTAAATGCATCTAGCCCATCTGTCCCTTTATAGAACAAGTATACTGTTCGTCCCCTCTCTCCCCTGTCTACCAGAACAGGGCTTCTTTCCGATATCCAAAAACGGATACTACGCACCATCATGGCCGACCCCTCACTGTACAGCTACCCCTCTCCACTCGAGGGCATCGATACCTCAAAACCACTACCAGAGTGAGTCACTTATCTCCCTCTCTCTCCCCTCTAATATTTCCGAGTTACAATCATTCTTCCGTCCTAACGGAACAAACCAAATGGGTATCATAATCCTAACAATCAATTCCCCTCCACAGTGAAAAAGCCGCCGACGGCAAATCCTACATCAACCCGCCCGCCGAAAGACTCAGCCCGGCATACGAGTCCTTCACCGCGCCCATCACAAACGGCCGACGCGGTGGCTTCGACGTGCACATTTACTTCCAGCAGACCGAGGACGACGAAGTCAAGTTCGCGACCGAGTTGTGGGAGAGGATACGCAGGGAATGTGAGTTTCTTCTACCTTCTCCCTCTCCTCCATCCCACCTTCTTTTTCCCCGCGCCAAATCATGTTCCTACGGCTTCCGTTCTGGTTCGCTTTGGGTTGACGGGTGATGCTGGTGCTTTTGCAGTCCCCGAACTCCGCATCTACAGCGTGTTTCCGCGTCCTGTAGGCCCGCATCCGGTCGGAATGTTTGAAGTCAATCTCTTCACTCCGGCCCAGTTTGGCGCTTTTATCCCCTGGCTGGTTATAAACCGTGGTCCACTGTCTGCGCTCGTGCATCCCAACACCGGGGATGACGTACGAGATCACACACAACTAGCGACTTGGATGGGACAGCCGTTCCCGCTGCGTGTGGGTATGCTGAGGAAGTTTGTCGCAATGAGGGACGAGAAATCCAAGAAGGAGGCGGCGGCCGGCAATCCTTCGTAGACTTTCGTCCGAGGACAAATGTAACCGTCAGTTGCCGTATGTCTTCGAAGACGTCGCAGCCGGCACGTCCGCCCCTCTCCCACCCCCTCTCTCCTTGTGACCATGAATATTGATTCTCTGCCATCCGTCAGAAGATGATCCCGGGCGGTTCGATCCCGTTCCATGTCCCAAACTGCTGATGATCCATGAGTCCCGGATCCAGCGTAGACCAACCATCCACAGACCCATCTTCGAACTGGTCGAGATCCATGCCACTGCCAGTGCTGCCCGCGATCCCATTGTTAGTTGTCGCAAAATCGCCCACGGCGCCCAGGTCGAGCCACGAAAACGCGTTGAGCGAGATGGGCTGCTGTACCATATCGAACCCCATTTGACTCTCCTGCTGCTCCGGCACGCTTGGCGCCGCTCCCTGCCCCTGGGGCTGCGCATTCGGCGCGCCGCCCGCCGTGTCCACGGGCGCGGAAATCGAGCCCTGTCCGGGTGCTTTCCTCCACAGCAGGCGGATGAGGCGGGAATACCTGTCCCCGACATCGTTTGTGCAAGCGCTCGCTTTCTGCAACCTGTCGACAGCGTCTCCGATCATGCGCTTGACGCTGCCACGTTCGCCGCCCAGCACGCCCGTCGACCGCGCCTTGTACAAGAAGCAGGCTGAGTAGATGACGCAAAGGTAGTACTTCAGTGGCATGTAGCGGAAAGTCTTTTCCGGATCGATGAAGCTGTTGAAGGTGCTCAAGATGCTCTTTGCTGCTTCGATGGAGTCGTAGATGAAGCGCGCGTCCGGAGTTGCGGCGACAAAGTCCGTGAAGGGGAACTGTGAGACTGTGGAGGAGGAGCGGTGGCCCGGTTGACGGGACTGGGCTGCCGCGTTCAGGGCCATGCGGCTAAGGGTTGCTTGGTATGCAAAGGCGTTGCAGTAGAGGCGAAGATATTCGTATGAGAGGATCAGGCTTGCCTTTAGAGGTGCGGAGCCTGTACCTGGTCAGTTGGATTATCGTCGAAGACGATGTAATGACACTTACAACTCAATGTCCCCCAGCGGGTGTACCACGCTCGAATGGCGACACGGAAGTCGTCCTGCATGTGTCAGGTTCGAGACGAACTTGTTGGTGTGGTTGTACTTACGATGTATTTGACGTATTCTCCGCCTGCGTTCAGTTGACTTGTCCGGTTCTTCGAAGCGTACAGCACATCATGCGCGTTGCTGAAGAGCTGAGTGAGCTCCAAATTCGCCTCGAATATGGCGGCAAAATCATCCACAGAGTCCCCACGAGGCTGCAGGCTCGGGAAGTCTCGAGCATCCAGACCAGTCATAGGTCCAGGACCTCGAGACCAGAAGGCTTTACCAATGCGGATTGAGATCTGACGGTCGCTCATGTAGCACGCTTCCCAGGGTCAGCAAGAGATGGGCGGAGGGCT